CTAACTTCTCCTGAGAGACTAGCAGCCGCCACCCGGAGAGCACACTAGGGCCTGACCCACGGGGGCACCAGGAACCATCTGTACCTCTGCCAACCCCAGGAGACCTGGCACCAGCGGCCTAGGCCCCACCCACCAGGGCAGAGCAGGGCCGGCCTCCCGCCCGCGCTGCCTCGGAGTTCCCTTACAGCCAAACATGTTCGCTCTGACGCCGGCGCGCGGGGCCGCTGCGCCCTCTAGCTGCAGAAAGGAGCACTGCACGCCTGACGCTGGGCACAGGCTTCCCCAGCAGCACTGGGGAGCAATCAAGGCTCTAGGAGCTGGGGCCACGCCAGAAATCGGGGGGTCTTGGATGGACGAGGGCCGGTGACAAATACTGGTGAGGCCAAGGGGACTCTGTGGGAAGGTGAGCAGCTGTGAAGTACTAACAACACAAGACGAAGAAGGGTTGAGCGAGGCAGCTAGAGGCAGACGCCGAGCGGAGGTGGCGACTCCACGGGGGGTGGGACCTGAGGCCACCTTTGAGAAAAGGGCACTATCCCACTGCAGCAGAGCCAGCAGGTGCCACCACAAGCTGACCCTGAGCAGGTGGCAGCTCTCCTGCCCCCTTCTCTTCTCCACAAAGGGACACCGAGGGCCAGTGGGAAGAGCCTGGAGCCAGGGGCACTGGGTCCACTGGGTCCGGGCGCAGCCTGAGTGGACACTGTGCCGGACTTCGTGGGCTCAGTGACCTACTCCCGGTCCCTTCACCTCCAGGCTGGGGGGATCTCTGGGCTGGGCCGTGGGCCTCTGGGCACCAGGCAGGCACACGGGGCCGACTGGGGCTGGTCTCTCCCAGTCCTGGGCGGGTGGCCATGAGTCTCAAGTCTCCTTCCAGGGCACCCGGCGGGCCATCCAGCAGCTCTGGGAAAAGGAGCTAATCCCGCTGTTCTCAGAGCATCGGCCACGAACTCTGGGAGGCTGAGACCTCACTCTGCCCGGGCCGATGAGAGAAGAGCATCGCTGACGCCCGAGCTTGCCGACAGCTTCCAGAAGGGCGGGAACCATGCACCAGCCCCAAGGAATCCGCCACGGCATCTATCACACGGGTGGAAGAAAACATTTTCTCAGCAACAGAAACACCCATTCTCTGGCAAGGTGCCTCCCCATGAGCACATGCTCGTTTGTTTACAAAACAGAAATAACTAACAAGAGCAATAAGAGGAAGTCCCCGGTGTCACCCAAGGAGATCCTGTCCTTGAGAGGACACCAGGCAATATATGAGGACATCTGTGGTTGTCACTACCGGGGGAAACTCCTGGCATCAAGTAGGTGGGGCCCAGAATGCTGCGCAGCCCCCCACTGAGCCCAGGACGGGCCCCCACAGAGAGTGGCCCAGCCCGATGTCAGCAGTGCCAAGGCTGGGACCCTAATTTAAATGGGTCCTGGAAGACACAACTGTCCAGTGGAGGCTCTTTCTAGGGACATCTCCTCTCCTACTGGGTCAACTGCAGCCATGACACAATAGGCACCTAAGGTGCCTGGGTCCAGCATGAGGCCACATGGCAACAGGTGCTAGGGTCAGATTTCAAGGGAGAAATTTGAAAAGTCGGGTGACAAACTACAACATTCAAGGCTGGAAACACAAACAAACGAACGACAGGGCTGTGCCTCCAGGACCCGAGACGCCCTTCGGTGACGAAGGACTCGTGTGCCCGAGCCGCTTTGTAACCATGTGGGTGACTCTCCTCCTGCGAGTGCCATGACCTGGACGGGCTCCGGGCCACCCCGAGCTGCTGGCCCAGGCGAACCCACTTTAGCTCTACTAGAGGACGTCTGTCCCCAATCCCAGACTGGGGCAAAATGAACAAACTGTGGCACTCCCAAATGCCCCCCCCAAACGAGAGCCTGAGGCTACTTTGCTCGTTTACGCTGTCCCCAACGCACAGGTGTGTGAGGACATCTGAAAATTGGACACATGTGCATTGCCTGGTTTGCACACGTGTGAACCATACTAAGCAGGTTCTGAAAATCCTGTGTGAAAGGGCCGCTTCCAGCTGGTCAGGAACTGGAAGCTTCCAGAAAAATCCCTTAGTGACGTACTGTGAACTAACACCCTCAAGCCTCTGAGAGATGGGACTTGAATGGAGAATCTCCAGGCAAAGGACCTCTGAAGGATGTCACCTGAAGACCGGGGAGCACCCTAACCGCCTCACCAGGTGCCTGGAGGGCCTGGGACGGCCCTGGACTGACGCTTGTTCGAAGCCCCTGGAGGGCTAGGTCAGCCTAGGACAGGAGGAATGGAAAGGCCACACCCCCCAAGTGAAGAAGGTGACACCGGGCAGCTGGCCCCGTGGGAGTCGAATGGCAAAGCTAGGAATTCTGGGCAGCTGGGGCAGAAGATGTGGGAGTCCCTGAGATAGAGCAGGAGGGGCCAGCCTTTGCCCCTCAAAACCGCCTCTGCAGGGGGCAGGCCTGGCAGCTAAGAGCGGCCGGGGTGCTGCTTTGCTGTAGGACTGTCCTTGGGGACGCCCTCGAACACCAAGCGCCTTGACCCTTCCCACAGGGCTGCACCCTGGTTCACACACGCCCCTCCCGGGCACCCTCGAAGCAGCCTGGCGAGGCTCCCGACCCCGGTCTGCAGAGGCAAGAACGGCCGGGCACGGCCTCCAGAGCGTGTGCAGAGCAGCCGGGGGACAGAGGACACAGTTGCAGCTGCTCTGAGCTGTGGCCCTGGCTCCACCTGGGCCGGCCAAGCCCTTGCCCCCACCTGGCACCACTGGGCCCCACAGGGCTTTTGAGAGGGGGCGCCAAACACGGCTTTTACAAGAGAAGGAACCCCCACCACCGCACGCACGAGCACACTCCAAGGGCAGTCTGGCTGACGCGGCCGGGGGAGGAGTATGCCACGTCTCCAGAGCTGGCTCAGGCCAGCGGGACACCCTGCCCCTTCACCAAAGAGGCTGGCAATCTCAAGAGCCAAGGGCCCCAGTTGAGAGAAGTGGGAGGTGGCCAGGGCCACAGCACCTGCGTCCCTGGACCCACGTGTCCCCACAGAGTGGCAGGGAGGCTGCTGGGAGACTAGACACCGCGCACCGTCCGTGCGAGATGGGAGAAGGCCTGACTCTAATCGCCAGGCTCCCTCGGCTGCACACTGTGCATCGGGGAGCAGGGCCCCGCCCTCATCGCACAAACCCCCGCGCCTGCCCCACCACTGCCGCCCCCTCAGCTGGTGTCGGAGGTTCCCGCGCCCGAGGCACCTGTCAGATAAAGCAGCGAGTACAGCGCCACTTGAGAGAGAAAAGGAACTCACAACGCTAAAGGCAGGAGGAAAAGCTGCCTGAAAACGTGTGCCTCACGAACTTTCCAGCCCAGTTTCCCATCCATCCAAACAGATCAGCGAAAAATGGGTCTACTGGAACCAGAAGCCTGAAGCAGAGACACAGGGCCTCAAAGGAGAAGCGCCGGCTCGGCGAAGGCGATGAAGGGAAGGGCGTGGGTCACACGGACGCGAGGGTGACAGACATGACCGAGGTGAAAGGATGGCAGAGGAGCGACGGGGTGTGGGGTGGGGGGTGTTTAAAGCTGCTTCCGACGGAATCACCCGTGATTCTAACTCGCTACGCGTCTCCTGACATAAGGCATGACGTGCATCCAAAGGCGGACGGGCTGGCTGCGTCCTGGCGAGAGTCAGTGACAGGAACTAGGTCAGTGACAGGAGACGGAGAACAGGCCCCACCCCCCCCTTCTCTTCTCCACAAAGGGACACCGAGGGCCAGCGGGAAGAGCCTGGAGCCAGGGGCACTGGGTCCGGGCGCAGCCTGAGTGGACACTGTGCCGGACTTCGTGGGCTCAGTGACCTACTCCCGGTCCCTTCACCTCCAGGCTGGGGGGATCTCTGGGCTGGGCCGTGGGCCTCTGGGCACCAGGCAGGCACACGGGGCCGACTGGGGCTGGTCTCTCCCAGTCCTGGGCGGGTGGCCATGAGTCTCAAGTCTCCTTCCAGGGCACCCGGCGGGCCATCCAGCAGCTCTGGGAAAAGGAGCTAATCCCGCTGTTCTCAGAGCATCGGCCACGAACTCTGGGAGGCTGAGAAGGAGAGCCTCCTACACAAGCCTCTGAACCTGCCACAACCCCAGGTGAAAGGTTTCCTGAGCCCTTCCCATCTGAGATGCCAAATTCCAGCCGCGTGAGACACAAGCAGTGACCGCTGAAGCCATTCAGAAGGGAGAACTGAAGCTCAAACGACAGTGGTGGCCACGGTTCCCGAAGCAGATGGAAACGCTCTGCTTTGTCAATATTACCACGTGTACAATGAGCAAAACTCAAGAGAAGGGGAGGGGAAAAGATGTGGCCAGCATATTGCTTTCCTTGTCTCCTGAGACTGAGGCCGAAGGCACGAATGTAACAGGACAGGAACTGACGTGAGTAACAAAACCAGCCCACGCCAGGCGGGCGGCGGGGCAGGGGGTGCCCCAAACCGCAGCCCGCAGCCCAAATCCCACCCGCCGCCTGCTTTTGTACAGCTTTTGAGCTAAGAATGTGTTATTCTGTTTTGTTTTCATTTTTAAATGGTTGAGGAAAAATTTTAAAAGAAGAAAAAGATTTCGGGACAAGTGAGAATTCTGTGAGATTCACGTTTCAGTGTCCGTGAATAAAGTTTCATTGGCACACTGCGGCACCCGCTGGCTCGAAGGTCATCCAAGGTGGCAGAGCTGAGTGGTGGCAACAGGGACTACTTCGCATGCAAAGCTAGAAACGCTATCTAGTTCTCTGTAGAAAAGGTTTACCAGCCACCTGGTTTAGCAGCGGTCCCCAACCTTTGTGGCACCAGGGACCGGACTCCTATGAGAATCTAATGCCTGACGATCTGAGGCGGAGCTGAGGCGGTGATGCCAGCGCTGGGGAGCGGCTGCAGATATAGATGAAGCTTCGCTCGCTCACCCACCACTCACCTCCTGCTATGTGGCCCGGTTCCCAACAGGACACGGACCGGTACCCGTCCGCGGCCCGGGGGTTGGGGACCCCTGGTTTAAAGAACAGACAACGAGGAATCTTAGGTAAAGTGATAGTTATCCCAGAAGCAACTAGAAGAACCCCAAGCAGGTTCTGCCCAATTACTGGGGGAGTAATGCCACATACACAGGTTCACGTGAAGGTAAAGAAAGAAACGCACCCATTTCTACTAAAAGGTGACACGGGGAGAGCTTGCGTGTCTGCCCGCCTTCACACACACGCATATACACGTGTGTACACGTATGTGCGTAATGCACCACGGAAGGAGAGGGGACATTCGCATCCCTGTCCCTTCCAAGGACAGGGAAGGGAAGGGGGAAGCTCACTTGTCACTCTCTGCTCTATCGCACTGTTTAAATTTGCCTCCCACGTGCATTACTGTCTCTAAGAAAAACATTTTTAACTCGTCACATAAAGGCAAACCCCGAAGCCTTGCCAGACTCCTGACCCACTTCCCCCACAGGTGGGTGAGACCGGCGGCCGTGATGCCCTGGGCGGCCGCTGCCCACTGCGTCAGCCCCCGCGCAGCTCTGTGTCCCCGCCCCAGCACGCCGGCTGTCACGGGGACCGGAGCCATGCAAGTCACCGGCGAACCCAGGGCTGAGAGCAGCACCTGGCCACTACAGAACCCACCGCGCCGGAGACACACACGGTCAGTGTGGCTCAGTGAGCGTGCTAACGTGTGCCACCTCCATGCGTGGACACACGCAGAAACACTGGGCCAGGACCAGGACATCACCCACCTTGGCCAGGCCCGCCCGGTGGGCTCCCTGGGACTCGATGTAGGCCACGTATTTGTTGAAGTCCTTAAATTCTTCCATAGTTGGGCGAAACGTCATGATTTTACAGCTCGGGTTCTGGGCGCCGTGATCCTCAGACCCCATGGCTGCAGCTGAGACACCGCCACACCTGTGGGGGGGACGGAGAGCGTGAGCATGGCAGTGCCGCCCCCGATGCGGCCTGTTCCCCCTCAGGCCGCACGAGAAACACCCGCGGCCCCCGGAAGCCACGTGGGGCGGAGGGGACCGGGAGCCGACTTCCTCGCTCTGCTCTGGCACGGAAGACCAGGATGACTTCAACTAATTAAAAGCAGACGTCCTAGCTCTAAGCGCCAACGCGATACGGGAAGCCAGAGCACAGCTTTAAACCGGGGCCTCGGAGAGAAAAGCTTTTCTCAGCGGGCCGCAGATCAACACGGTCCTTCAGAGCTGGACGTCCACAGAGCGGCCGCAGCACGGGGCGGGTTATGGAAGGTGAGGGAGGCTGCATGTCGGTCTGTGTTCTTTCACGGGTCGAACCCATGAGCAGGGACCCCAGCTCTGGGCGGTGTCTGGCCAAGCACGCGGGTCACTCCAGGACGGGCCCGGCTGCTGTCGGCGAACCTGGGCCACACACAGGCGGGATTCTGGGATGAGGCGGGCAGAAGGCCCAGCCGGGATGGCTCGCTTCCTGGGGCCAGAGCTGCTCCACAGCGCGGGGCCCACCCGCACCTGGAGGTCCCAGCACAGGAGGGGAGGGGGCCGGGCCTGTGCGCGCCACAACGTCTGCGGGCACCCAAGGAGAATCCGGGCTCTTCTCCGGAAGGAGGCCACAGGCTGGAGGCCCTTCCTGTCCTGGGAGTTAAGGGGAAACAGTGGGGCAGGCAGTAGCCCGCCCTGGGCATGAAGGGGCTCAGTGAGAAACTCTGGGCAGGGTCCCCACTGGCTGAATAAATTCTCCCGGTTCAACTCTCCAAATTGAAAAGGAGCTGAAAGACCAGGCTCGCTCCAGGATGCGGAAAAGGTCACAGCCCAGTGCACACAGACCCGAGGAGCTGGGGACGATTTAACCAAGTCCACCTCCCGCTCCGCAAGGTGAGCTGGGGCATGAGAAAGCCAGGAAGCCCACTCATCCCAGAAGGAAGGTGGGTGGAGGATCCATGTCACCAAGACGCAGCCACTGGCTCCCAAAAGAGTCCCCACACCAAACACTAGAGGGCAGCACGAGCCCAGGAGTCATCCCAGAGGCGGTCATTTCCAGCAGGATCTGGAGGCCTAGGCCGGCAGGCACTGGTCCCAGCCCTGCCTGCGAAAGCCCATCCCATGCCTGGGGCTGGGGCTGGGGCCGGGGGTGGGGGATTTGCGGGGGGTGCAGGGACCCAGCAGCTAAAGCCCCACCCTGAGGGTCACATTCACAGCCGGACTGCTGGAGAGGGCCACCGAGGGTCCTAACACAGATAAGGGTCACTGCTGCGTCCAGGCTGGGACCCACCATGACCCTCCACCCTGTGTCCACAGAGTCTTGAGGCTTCTCCTCAAGGGGCAACCACAAAGCTGCAGTGTGCATGGCAGGCCATGAGGGCCTATGACAGCATGTGATGGTGGCTCTGGGTAGGATCACAAGGAATCACCAAGAAGACAGTTTATAGAAGCAAAGGGGTTGTCACAAACCCCCCAGGAGCAGCTGGCACCAGAGGGCCCCGGTCTCAGCCAGGCTGCCCACCCAGGAGCTGCCCTCACTGGCGCCTTGAGCAGCCCTCTGAACTGCCCACCCCACCCCACCCCCCCGGCCAGCCCACTCACCCACTGCCAGGGCCTAGGGCGAAAACCCCACCTGGAACCCCCACCTGCCCCACCTGGGGCCCAGCCCACCTGCCCTCTCCCCTCCAGGCCAGACACAGCCATCGGGGCTCACCGCGGACCTCTGCAGCACGGTGGCAGACAGGACAGCGTGTCCGTCTTGAGGGGACAGGCCCTGACCCCAGCACCACTGTGAACATCAGCATGGAGCTGAGCTGAGCTAATGGCTCTGGAAGGGCGAGAGACTCTGGCGAAAGAGCTGGCCTTTCTCACGCCCCAACAACCCAGCCACCCACTGCTGTCCACGCCACCGCATCAGCCCCGAAGACATCCCACAGGGCTGGAGAAGCTCGGCGTCTCTGCTTGTACAGAGCGGTGGCTCCCGAGGGGGGCCCTGCCACCCACCCACGTCACACTGATTGTCAGTCAGTTCCATCCTCCGAGGCCCGAGTCTCAGCCCCTGCTCCTACGCCCTCGACGGCTTGATAAAGGTGCAGAGGCCAGCCCCTCAGCCTGCTGTGGCCGGAGCCCAGGGGACAGGCCAGCACCTCACAGGCCCGGCCCTGTTCTACGCACTTCACGTGGGCAATCCGTCCACCCCACACAATGAGCCCATTTGTCACTGCTCACTGAGGACACGGGCCCCACGTGCCCAGGCCACACGGCAGGCAGGTGGCAGGGCCAGAGGCTGAGACAGCCTGAGTCTCCCACCCTGGTGAGTGGCAGGAGCCAGGATCCACCCGTCCCCAACAGCTCTCGTGTCTGGCTCAGCCTGTCCTGGCTAGTTGGCCCGCTCTCCCTCCAGGCTGGCTCATGTGGCCTGCAGGGGAGGGGGTCACGGCCTCTCACAGACACTGCCCCACACTCCGTCAGTGGGAGGCGGTGGGGCATGCCTGCCTCTTCTCGGACACCTGCTCGTCCCGGCAGAGCTGGGTGGCCCAGGGCCTGACCACAGGACTGTCTCACGGAGACAAGTTTCCGCCTAGGAGGTCGAGAGAGCGGGAGAGCCACAGACGGCAGAGAGCGTGCCCTGCAAATGCGCCCCAGCGAGACCAGCCGCTCCAGCCACCGCCAGCTACACCAGCCCCACGGCGGGCTGTGCGTGATTCTTCTCTCTCATTCGTGCCTCTTGAAATAAAACTTTTTGACAAGAAAACGTAAGAAAATTAAAAAGGTCTATAATCCCAACACTCCGTAACTCTTGACACATTTTTTGAAAGGGGTGCAAATAAAAACCATACGTGTACGTGTTTAAGAAATAAAAAAAGGAATCTGAACGCCAGCCGTGGGCCAACCTTCCAGGTTACGAGAAACGTGGGAGAAGGGACAAAGAACCAACTGAAAGCCCTCATGAGGGAACTCGCAGAACAGTCTAGAAAGAGCAACGTGCTCTTTACAAGACAGGGTCGTGCCGGAAAAGCGGAGCGCAGTCAGCAAGTGGGCAAAGCGAACAGACACTTCTCCAGAGCAGACACACACAAGGTCAGCGAGCGCGTGAACGGGACACGCCGGTCACACCCGCAGCGAGCCACCACTCAGGCCCCAGGGCGGCTGGAACGAGAAGGACAGACGATGACCAGCGCTGGCGAGGACGTGAGAGCGGAACCCTGAGACTCTGCAGGTGGCAGTCGATGGCGGACGGCGCAGCCGCTGTGGGAAACGCTCGGGCAGTTCGGACAACGCTGTGGTCGGCAGAGTAACGTCCCTGCAAGACGGCCACGTCCTCACCCTGGGGCTGTAACCGTGGTGCCTTCCATGGCAAAACTGGACTTTGCACATGGGACTAAGTCAAGGCCCCTGAGGTGGGGAGATCCTGGATTCCCCGGGGGCCCAGTGTCCTCACGAGGGTCCTGATAAAGGGAGGCGGGAGGCTCAGAGTCAGAGGGGGAACGGACGACAGAGCGTCGGAGTGATTCAAGGAGGGGGCCCCAAGCCAGGGGAAGCGGGCGGCCCCGAGGCTGGAAATTCAAGGTCGAGTCTGCCCTCAAGTCTCCAGAGGACCGGTCCCTGGCCAACGCCTTGATCTGAGCCCCGCAACACCCACTCCAGACTTCTGACCCCCAGAACTGCCCCAGAAGCGTGGGTTGGTTCAAGTCATCAGGTTAATGGTCGCATTCCGACAGCCACGGGAGGCACATTCAGCGTCCAGGGACAGTGCCTCTGAAAAGCACTTGCAGTTTTCGATGCCTCCGAAAAAGCCACATTCTGGTCCACACCAGTCCCTAATTAGCCACGTGGCCTCTGTCCGAGATCAATACTGAACACAAGGCAGCCTTTCTAAGGCCACCAGGAACAGCCATCGTGGGACGGTCTGTCCACCCCGTCATCCCCACCCCATGTATATGAGCCAGGGGACGATCAGCTTGTTCCCTCTCTCCCTACCAGTGACCACCTTGGACCACCAGCAGAGACCATCACTTTAAAATCCTCTGTCCTCTGTCCCTGGGTAATTACAAAAGTGCAGAAAAAGGTAGAAAGCCTGAAGTTGAAACCCAGAAGCAGATGGGGTTCTTTTAAATACATTTAAAAAGAATCTTCCATTTTTAGGGGCCCCCCTCTGCCGTCCCCCGGACTGTGACTGGTCATGATCTCCTGCAGGGCATGGGGTCGGGCGAACAGGGCCCTCAGGGAGCCCGGAAGTGGTGTCCCACTTGATCCACAGGACGCAGACAAGGCGGCCCATCCTGGGCGACCATAGTGTCATCAAAATGTACAGTGGATCTCGGGGCTACTAGAACCGAGGGACAGGCGTTCAGATGCTGAAGGGCGAGGGTACAAACATGGAGCACGTGGACTGGAGAAGACATCTCCAGCAGAGTCACCCCAGAGCGGTCCAGGCTCCTTTAAGGGGGTGCAGACTCCGATATCCCAGGGACTCAGAACTAAACGGGGCCACCTTCTCCCGGCAGGGCACAGGCCTGACGGCCACCCCGGCAGAAGGCTGCATCCCTCAGTGCCGTGGTCTCACACTTACTTGGGATTTCCTGGCTGTCCCGGATGGCCGAGGCGGCAACGACAGATGCTCCAATAAGTGGCTCAGGTTTCTGTCAGGTTCCAGCTACGGTGATAGTTCCTAAAATACACAAAATAAAAGCACGACTAAACAGATGGCAGGCTGAAGCCTCGACTCCACGTCATACTCCCGGCAGCCGCAGTGGCCCGAGGACGCTTGCCTTTTCTCAGCCTTTTCCAGACCCCTGCCACTTGGAGGGACACAGAACTCGGTAACTGCGAGCACCCCATCCAGTCTTCCCAGCACTGCCTCTTTTAAGTTCAGCTCTTAAAAATCAGGAGCTGAGGAAGCAAGAGCCTCCACGAGCAATTAAAGAAGCATCTGGAAACCTGATGGTCCAGGCGGCTTCTGAGGGGTTTACGAGTTCTGCCTCCAGTGAACCCCACGGCCAGGGTAGGTGCCCCTCCAAAAAGGAAATTCACATGGACAACGTCGCATGGTGACCGCCATCTGCACCCTGAGGACGCAGAGCACAGAGGGAGCGCCTGGCAGGGCCGTGCGGACCCACGGGGGCAGGGTCCCGCCTGTGGGACCTACAGTTGGGCGGAGACGCTCCTGCACCTGCTGGATGGATGCAGGATGGGACTCGACTCGGTGCGGCCTCTGGGCTCCGGCCACCCCGCGCCCGCACGCCAGCCCTCGCACCCACACCACCCACAGCTCTCCCGACATGTGAACCTAGATGGCACGCGGTCTACCGGACGCTCCCTGCCTCTGGGCCCCCTGCTTCTGGGCCGCTGCACATGCTGTCCATGACCTGAGTGTCCCCAGTGGGCCGGACGTTCTGGGCGGGGCAGCTCGGCCCTCGGGCCCAGCTTTGTCGAACTCGATCCCACACATTTTCTCCAATTCACCAAGAGTTTTAAATAGCATAGGTTTCACAAACACCCTGACAACAGGCAATGCACACTGACATTTTCTATATTTAATCTGTTTTTTTAAATTACTGGCCACGACCCATTAAACTGATTGTACTGTCTTTTAACAAGTCACGGCCCCTGGTTGATCAGCCACACCATGCTGTGGAAATGTGGCCCTCAGGCTGCATACACCTTCCCCTGGACTCGGCAAACCCTCGCGGGCTCTCCCAAGGGCTCCTCAGCGTCTCGCACTCCTCAGCCACAGGCCACCCCGCTCCACAGTCCGCCGGCACCTGGCATCGCCATAGAATCCCTCCCCGTGGCCATGGCTGGCAGACACTTGGCCGCCAAGGACGAGGGCTGCGTCTAAATCCCACAACCTGAGGCCACGCTCCCTTCTAGGGCAAAAGGGACTTTGCAGATGGGATTACGAGGAGGATCTTGAGCCAGAACGATTATCCTGGATTAGCGGGTGGGCTCTGTCGTCACGGGGTCCTTTCAGAGGGAGATGTGATGACAGAAGCAGAGGTCAGAGGCTGTGCTGTGAGGGTGGAGAAGGGACCGGAAGGCGAGGACGTGGGCAACTCTAGAAGCTGGAACTGGCAAACAACGGACTGTCCCCCGGAGCCGCCACCTTGACCTTAGCCCCGCGAGACCATGCTGAACTTCCAGCCTCCAGAACTGTCCGCTAATAACGGGTGCCGTCTGAGTCACCAGGTCAGTGGTCAGCTGTTAGGGCGGCGAAGGGGGGGACTGCTGGAGCTTCCACGTGCACTCCCCAGATCGCAAAGGTGGGGTCTTCTCACTTCCACTGACCCACAGGCCTCTCTGCCGTGAGCTGCCAGCCCCTATCTCTCATGTGTGTCTCGATGGGATCACGTCTCCCTCGTCACTTGTAACTGTCTCTCGGCATGCGTCTCCCCCACCAGACAGGGCCATCTCCACCAGCGCGAAGGGTCTGGAGGGCAGACGAACCACCGGGGCCTGGAGCTCTTAGCTGGATGGACCCCAGTCTGCTGCTGCCCACGGCTCCTGTGCCACCGAGACCAGTGGTCCTTCCGCCAAAAGCACCAACCCTCGGCCAGGAGGCTAGAACCGGGGCTGAGGTCAAGGCCCAGTTCTCAAGCTGAGGCGAGGTCTCCATCCACCCTCACCCAGGTCCACAAGGGACGAAGGTCCAGGCCAGTCCACCTCCACTGCTTCCTCAGGGACTGCAGGGTCCACTGGCTGGCCGGCAGCCACCCTGCAGGCTCTGGGATGCGGAGGCCTGGCCTCAGACCCAGGCCCACTCGGCACAAGGCAGCCGGAGCCGAGGGACCAGAGGCCCCTTCCGTGTGGGCTGCACAGAGTGACTTCCTTCCAAAAGGGAGTGACGATGCAGTGGCTGTGGCTGGCAGAAACACAGCTGCCAGGACACGCAGCCGGGGGATCAAAGTCGACATCAGCAGTGACAGGTCACGGCGACACGGGAGCCTGGATGCGATGGGATGAGAAGGACCCTTCACTCTGGGGTCCTGCTCCCAGAACCCATGGCGTAACCATGAGAAACAGACCGAACTCCAATTTAGGGACATTCTATAAAATCCCTGACCAATCCACCTCAAAACTGCCAAAGTCACCGAAAACAAGAAAAACCTGAGAAACTGTCACAGCCCAGAGGAGCCTAAGGAGATGCGAGGGCTGAATGTCACGTGGGGTTCCGGATGCGGTTCTGGGGCAGAGAAAGGACGTTAGAGGAGATGAGGAAATCTGGACACAGGACCGACACTAGTTAACACGAGCGTGAGGCAGGTGGGGGGGCGGGGGGGCGGGAGGAAAAGAGGCAGGAACCAGGAAAAGAGGCTCCAGGAACTGCCACCAATGGGTGGCATCTCTGGGACCCCACGGGCTTGGCCTCCGCAGGCCAGGTGGGGCCGCCTGGGCCCCCGGGTCCTGTCAGCTCTCACCCGCCCAGGGTGGACCACACTGCCACTCTTGCCCTGGCGCTGGGCCCGGAGTCTGAGAGGCAGAGAGTGGACGGCGTCCTCTGAGCCACACAGGAAGGGAGCCCTCCCCTGTACCACTCATTACCTGACCCACGAGGGCTCAGCTCCCACCTTGCCTCCTCCTCCCACACCACAAGCCCCAAGTGGTCCCCAAAAGAGGCCAGGCATCTCCTGCCGCCCACCGGGGGCATCTCACGGGGCGAGGAGGCTACCCAAAGCCTGAGAAGGACCCGCTGACTTGAACGCTCTGATTGTCCCATCACTATGAACTCTCTTTTGAAAAACAGAGATACAGACAGATGGACCAGACATAAATACAGACGGGCAGAGAGGCATGGGCTGGTACTCATGTTTCTGAGCTCTGTCGCCTGGCAGGTCCGAGAAGCCATGACACCACCAGCACTCAGCGCACCCAGTGGCCAGGCTGCTGGGAGAAGCAGTCACCTCCGGGGCCGGGGCAGGGAACACATAAGACGAGCCTGAGCGCCTCATGGGGCAGGGAGGACGGACGCTGCCACTGGACGGTGCGGACACGCAGGAAGGACACGGGAGCCAAACCAAAGGGGTGGCAAACAGTGACGGCGCTGGATTACAGCCCGCAGAGGAACAGGCGCGGGCCTCGTGGGAAAATAAAGAGGCAACAGGAATGGGGGAGGAGGGACCACTGTCTTCCACAAAAGAGTTCGGATTCATAAATGGAGAAGGGAGGGTGACACACGTCACCATGAAACGGACAGAGTGATAACTGGTGCATGTAACTGCTGTCTATCTGAAATCGACAGGCAGAAGGCTGAGGAGAAACAGGGTGTTTGCACTGTCTTGAAGCCCCAAAAAGAGTGACCCTTCACGTGGAAACTGGCAGATGGCCCACCTCACCCAAGGGACCAAGGCCATGGAGGAGACCTCACCCAGCAGCCTTCCCCAAACGCGTAAGCTCCATGTCATCGGGAGGAAACCTCAGACACGGCCGAGGGACCGCCTACGAAGCACGAGGCCGTGACAGGAGAGGGAAGACTGAGACGCGGTCCCTGCCCAGAGGAACCTGAGGAGCCCTGGCGACTGCCTATATGCGACAGGGGGTCCCCGAAGGAGCCCTGGGGCAGAAAGGGATGTGAGTGGGCCCACGTGGAACCCTAATAAAATGCGTAGTTAGCTGGGCCATTCCCCAGCAGCTATGTTAAGAGCTCCGGCTCGGGAAGGCGGCTGAAGGGTACACGGGTACTCTATGTACTGTCGCTGCAACATCAGTGAGTCTAAAATACTTAAAAAGTCGAAAAAGTTAAAAACCTCTACCTCTGTCCTCTGAAGCTCACTGCACAGCAGGTCTCAGCTGGAAGAAGAGAGTCTGGCCGTAAAAAGATCCAAACCGATAAGAAAAAACAAACCGACACCGCACCGCAATCCGGCGCCAGGACG